ATGCCGATTATGTGTCTAGTTGTGTGCCATTACTATAAAGGATTACAGTATACTATACTTTACACCTTATATAGGCTACACTAACGTGACGTTTAGGTGGTTCATTTAACTATTATACGTGACGTACATGTTTTGGGGGATGGTTAATGAAAGTGTTCCCAAACGCTACATTAATTTCTTGACTGCCTAATACAAATCCCCGTTGAAAGTGATGTAGATAACACTTAATAATCTAATTATGTTTAATAAATAATTTAAAGAAATGAATAATAAAATTTATCAGAATAGTTGTGGAAAATATTCAGTAGTTTAAGATAAAGTAAAGCAGTCTGTGCCTTGTTGTGTGGCAAAATCAGGCTTATAAAAGCAAAAAGGTGAACAACTCTTGTTATTACAATTAGTATTTAGTGTGTAATTATGAAGTTCTTCAGTTATTTGACTCTTTTTTTTTCTTTCTATTTAATCCAATATGGTTACGATTTAAGACATTGTATATAATAAATTAACTTAGAATGGCATTTCAAGTTATAAGTGAAATTTTGTTAAATGACTGAAGATAGAAATGATATTTTTTTAATTGATTTGAATTAAAGAAGAATTGTGTTTACATTGGTATCATGAATTGAACACGAGACATATTGATGTGTTCATTTGAATGTTTTTTAATGTTATTCTTATCACAAAGTTTTTAAAGAGTCATGGTTTGAAAACTTTTACAGTAGTGAATATTCCGAAACACACTTACCTCCTTCTACACTTTAGCTTTATCCTAATGAAAGGTTCTTGTTTAAAAAATGTGGATTTCCAGAGACTTTGGACAGTAGAGGAAGTTTCTCTCCACATCAATCTCTTAGAACTTTTAGCAGTTCAATGAGCTATGACTCAGTGTCTCGAATTGTTGTGAGGAAAGGTGGTATTGCTTTGTTTGGACAATTCCACATTAGTCTTATATTTCAAGCAAGGTGGCACTAACTCCAGATCTTTGTTTTTGGACAGTGATCTTCTCCTTTGGGCACACAGACACCGATTTGTTCTACCTGCTTGTCATGTTCCAGGGGTAATAATCTAGTAGCCAACCAGTTATCTCATCCCAACAGAGCTCTTCCTATGGAATGGATGTTTCATCCTCAAGTTTTGCATTGGATCTGCTCTTGTCTAGGGACACCACAGATCAATGCTTTCACCACACATCTTTCTGTGTTCCCTCTGATTTGTCTCCTCTCCAAGGTTGTGGCACTGATTTGCTACAGGTCCTGTTGAGCTCTTCTGGTGGCACCATATTAGCTGGGTAAGCCCTAGTTTCCACTTCAGTATCTTCAGGAGTGTCAGCTTCTTCCTTCCTGGCCACTTTTGTTACATTAGCCTTAGTTGGACATTTTCATCCAGCAGTGTCCACATTCTTTTATTTCACACCTGGCTTTTATGTGGCCATCACATCAGGGATTGACATCTTGAGTGGCATCCTTATTAACACATTCCATTTGACATCCTTCTTTGAAAGTTTATCAAAGTAAATTGTTTACTTATCATCAGTGGTCTTTCAGACATGGGTTTAACCCTTTGCTTCCATCTGTGCCACTTTGTCTCTCAATTTTTGACATGGTCATTTGACAAAGGTTTGGCACCTTTGTCTGTTGCCTTGTATAAGGCTGCCTTATCACCTACTTTTCCTTTTTCTTTAAGAAGAAAAGTTTTACATCCCCAGTTTTGTCATTACTTTTGAAACCATTTTGTGTTATCCATCCTTGTCGCCCTTTCCAGGTTTCTAATCGGGATATCATAGTGGTTCTCCATGCATTAACATCAACCTTTTGAACCTTTGGGGTCATGTTCACTATATCATCTTTCACTTACATCATATTTTCTTCTGTTATTGGCAAGAGGGCATCGATATTCTTCTGTGTTTGTGCTTCACGTTCACAGAAAACTGTACCATTCCAATTACATTTTGTTGTATCTAGACAGGTCCTTTCTACCTAAAAATGCAGCAGCTAGGGAAGGAGATAAGGCTTTCTCTCTTGTTTATATTCCCTCCATTTCCCATTTATACAACCATTTGAATCCAGATCATTTGTATGCCCTGTTCAGGCTCTTCCATGTTTTCTGCACACACTGGAGCTTTCAGGGCTCACGTCACTCTTTGGCATCACGAGACTTATCCCCTGTCACTTTGACAAGTTGGATTCATCAATTGGTTCAGATAGCTTTCTCAGGTCTTTCATTGGAGGAGCAGAGACTTCTTTGGGTCTCATCTCATCAAGTTCAACAGATATTAATATCCCTGGCAGCTCTGTTGCTTCACCCACTTTAGAGAATTGTACAGGCTAGTATGTGGATTACACATACCATCTTTATATTGCACTATTTATAGGATTTAGCAGTCTCCTCCTTCAATGAGTTTTTGCTATCCCCCATGGCTATTCTACATGCCCCAGCTCCCTTATGACAGAGGTGAGTAGCTTCATTCCTTTTCAGGGACCTTCTCGTCATTTGCATTTGAATCACATTCAGTGGCAAGTGTTGCCTGGTCATTTATGCTTTTACAAATATTCATTAGCTACCTGTATACTGATAACTAAAATCCTGGTAGCATCGAGCTCTTTTGAGACTTTCTGGGTTTTCCACTTTACTCATAGACTATAATGAGTAAAGCATAAAGGGACTATGTCCATCCCTGCTAATCTTGGAATTGAACAAATCATGGTTGGTTTGCTTTTCAAAGAAGGGAACATGGTTCTATTCCAATATCTCCAAAACACTGTTCCTCAAGACTCCTCAATACGAGTCACCCCTCCTCTTCTAGTGGAGCAAGGGAGACCTTACCACTCTCAGTTTCAAGATTCTGGAGTGGTTGACAGAGGTCTATTCCTCCTAAGTGATGTTTGTACTCTTTATTCCACTTATGGAGAAAAGGGCAAAGCTGAATACCTTTTCCACCCTTAACCCCGGATGGTTTTCCCAGGTGTCAGGTGTGGAGCTGATCCAGCCTATGTGGGAGCCTCCTCATAATTCCAGTTCAGAGATGACACTTCATCATCTGGTTATGTGAACATGGCCCTTCTTTTTGGTCATTCTTTTACTTTCAATAATCGTGGAAGAGAATCCTCAACTCCTCATAATTACGCATAAGGAGCATCACATCTGTGATCCATTGGTTGAACTTTGTTTGTTCCACATCATAATTCTGGGGGCAGGAGGTGTTACCTTGCCTTCCAGGTTGAGTAATTAGGATTTTGGTGTGTAATTCTGAGATCAATTTGTTGCATTCTGAGCTTCTTTAGGTTGGGGAGAAGACTTGTCTAGTTGGATATTGCTTGCCTTCTCTTTGTAATTCTGGTGGCTCACATGTAACATTCTGTAATTTTCAAGTTGGGTGACTAGGCCCATAATTTCAAGTTCGATTTGTTGCATTTTGTGCTTCTTCAGGTTGGAGTGAGAGTTTGTCCACTTAGATGTTTTCTTCATAATTCTGGTGGCTCAACATGCAACATCCTGTAACTTTCAGGTTGGGTTCCACAGAAATTCTGAAGGGTTTTCTTGGGAAACACTTTCCCTTCTTTCCTCCACACTAACTTGTTTGTCATTTTCGGCTCTGGGTTTGCATACATGTTTTCTCTGTTGCTGGGACCTTCTAGGTCATAATGCGATTTTGGCTCAGGTTCGTTTACCATTGACTTATCTTCGGGATTTATGTGTGGCCCCATTTCTGCAGTGATATGTTATTGACATGATCCCAGAAACACTAGAGCCACCCGTGGCATCAGTCCAACAACAATCTACCCACACCAATATTGTTGCACGTTTTTCTCAGTCAGAGCCCCATATGCCACCTATTACCATTTCCCATCCTTCCCTTTCCCAACCCTTACCTGTCCCTTCTTCTCTGGGTGCCTCTTCTCCTCGATTTCTTTTTCGACGACACACCTCATGTCTCCAAGAGTACCAGTGACTACTCAGTGGGTAGCTCACATTGCTGATTTTCTTCATTGCTAGCATTCCTTCATGGAGGATCAATGGGTTCTTCAGGTTTTATCAGAAGGATTCGTAATCCCCTTTGTTTCTCCACTTCTCATATCTACTTTCCCCATTTCCTAACCTCCTCCTCAGGATCCCATGACCAGTCAGCATCTGTCACAAGCAGTTCAGAAATTGCTATCTCAGCAGGCCATCAAACCTGTTCTCCATCCTTCAACAGGTTTTTATTTCCGACTCTTTGTTGTTCTCAAGAAAACTGGGGAATGGAGGCCAGTCAAATGCTTCATAAACCTGCCCCAGTCTATGATGGAGTCTTTCCCCACCTGGAGGTGGGTGTTTTCTCCAGGTTTATGGACAACCAAAATGGATGTCGCCAACACTCCATATATCTCAGCCTCTTCCTTATCTTCGGTTTGGCCATCTTGGGGTGGTTTATCAATTTCGAGCTCTACCATTTGGGCTTGCTTTGGCCTTTTATGTTTTCTGTGGGGTAGTCCGAACATTTGCTCAACATCTTCATGCTCTGAACAAGAATAGCTAATTTTGTGAGAGGAGGTAAGTACCTATTGGAAATACATTTTCAGTATAGGAAAATTATAACTTATGTATAAACCCAAAAACCAATATAGTTAACTTATCATAATATCTAAAATACTTGGTTTTTGAACTGCTGATCAGTGAAGTGGATGTCTTTCTGAGGGATTGTTTGCTCCTGTTCTAAAGCTTCATTTGAAACTTGGTGTTGAAGGGTATAGCCCACGTTGAAGCTTGTAATTCATTTCAATCAAGTGAGAACTTGATTCCCCGAAGATAACATCAACCAAAATAGAATCTACTTTATTCATAGTATGTGGAACACATATGTCATCCATTCAATACAGAGGAGAATGTATAATAACAATTAAAATTGTTATACTCTATCAGGTTATAATGTGTGTATGTGTGGGCTTGTTGTAAACTCTATTACTATTTTACATTCTATGTATTTTTCTTTTTCATCAGAGCTTTGTTAAGTATTTAATTAGCTCCTTTTTATTTGTAAGTTGGAGACCTGTTAACAGTTACTTAGGTCTGGACATTTGCCTGTTTTTTTCATTCCCAGCGACTTCTTTTCCACCTTACATGGGCAATGGGCTGACTTTGCCTTTCATAGTCAGTTTCTCCTAAGTATAGCAGCTCTGGTTGGCTGGGATAAGTGGAGACTTTCACCTCACCCACATCGAGTCCTTAGTTCATTTTGGCATGTTGCTTCATTCCCTTTCAGTCAAATCCAAATTTCTCCCCTTCAGTTGAGAGCTATGGAGCTTATAGTTTGCAGCTCTCCTTTTCCCACAGCGTGAGAGGTTCTCATTCCTCTTGATCAAGGCCACAGTTGTCACCTTCAGTGGGTTTGGTGGGTCCAGTGGAGCTTTGTTTGGAATCCCTTGGATGCTCCTCTCATCCTTCCTCCTTCCTTACCAACAGACTTTGTCTGGTGTTGGATTGGGACAACATGCCTCTAAGTGTTCCTCTTCCTCCTCAACAACCAAAAGTCACCTTTTATGCATGCTTCCCTTTCTTTTTTTGGTGCTTATCTAGTCACTCGGCTATTTTTGGGGAAGTGGGCTCGCTTGGAGTCCTCTCTCTTTTTCAATCCCTGGTAGCTCCTCACAGTTTGTTGGGCTTTGTAGCATATTGTTCCGGCCCTACAGGGCCAGTCAGCGATGGTGCTTCCAACAACTCAACTCTCATCTCATACATTTTCAGGTCAGAGGGCACTCAGTTAAGAGACCTCTGTTTTTGGCAACTGGTACCCCTGTGTTGGGCCACAGCCATCAAATACTTGTGTTGGCTTGTCATATTCATATTGCCCTGAAATTTTTTGTAGATCATTTATCATATCCTGACAGGACTCTTCTTAAAGAGTGGTCACTGGACCTATGGGATTTTTTGGGGACTCTGTGCCTACTGGGGTGTTTCAGATCTGGTTGCCTTTGCTGCTCATCTCAATTTTTCACTCCCCTGGTTTTGGTCTGTTTCACATCTTTGACTAGAACTTTTGTTGCTCTCAGTCAGGATTGAACAGGCCTATACCTATACGCCCACTGTCCCAATCGTCTGCCTCCCCAGGTCCTTTCCATCATCCACATCACTCTCAGTAGGTTTCTTTAGATGGCTCTTCTGTGGTTTCCACTTCTGAGACAACTAGTAGGGTTACATCCTCTTTCTCTCCCTTTTCCTCCCACCCTCTGATGTCCACCCGGTTCACTTGATCTTCATGCTTGGCTTTATTCCAGTTTCTGCCCTTGCAGACTGGCTTTTTGCAACTCATACCACCCTTGTTTTCCCACTATGTTCATCTTCCTCTAGGAGCTGTGTACTAAAAACTTTCAAATTTCCAATGTGGTTATTTTCCCAGATTATCCTTTCTGCCAATTTTTGACCTTATCACACTTTTATGACCTTTCCAATCCAGATTGTCTTCTCTGTCCAGTCAGGGCTCTCCATTGTTACAGGGTGCACACTGATTCCTTCTGTAGTTCCTGCTCCCATTTTTTATTCCTTGGAAATCTTCCCAGTCCCTTCATCCTTGTGGATTTAATTCACCAGTTGATTTGCCTGGCTTATTCTTTCCTTTCTCTACATAATTGTAGTCTTTTCTGTGTTTCTCCCCATCAAATTCTTCATCTTACCATGTCCCTGGCTGTTCATTTCTATCATCCTTTGGAGGAAATCAATGGTACTGGTATGTGTACTTTGCTGTCCATCTTACTACCGGCCATGGATATGGTGATGGTCAGGTTGGATGTGCACACATGATTAAGATGGGGAGGTCCGTCCATTGTTTCCACCTTTATTGTGACACAATTTTCACATGGGCAAAGAGTATACCTGGCTCAGAAGTGGTGCATTCTCCCTTGGGGGTGTTGCCTTCCATTTATTTGCACACCCCATGGTCTACCTTTGGGTGCTTTCCAAAGGGGTATCATATTTTCAGCAGACCCTTCACCAACTCAGTGTGAGATTCTAGTTTTTTGTGAGTGTAGGTAAGATATCGTATCAGAAGTTAACATTTTCTGAAATTGAAAATGTATTTCTGATAGATACTTACCTCATCTCACACTTCCCACCCAATCTCGAGGTGATTAAGTGCTGCATGGAAGAGAGAGCATTAGTGACAATAGGAGTTGTGTCACACTTCTGTTGGTGCAGGGTTGTTGAATAATAGCATGCCAATATCTCATGTGAATGCGCATGAGAGTAGGTGGGAGTATCAAGGCTAGTGAGAAGTGAAAATATACACTTATAGAGGGCACTATAAGTGGAGAAAAGCTTTTTGTGAGTAGAGGTATCAGAAATATGTTTCAATTTAGGAAAATGTTAAATTAGCAGTCAGCAGGACCAGGGTATAGCCACAAATGCTCATAGTGACAAAGAAATATGTTAGTGAGAGTTGGCCCTAATGGTGACCCCATTGCCGTGCCATCTATTTGGTCATGTAGCTCACCATTGAAGACAAAGTGATTATTCTTGAGTTCAAAGAATTACTTAACTTTGCCCTCATTAAACTTTTATTCTGGTCGAATGAATTTGTTGCTAATGTTATATGTTATCTTATTGTTTTTAAGCATATAGATGAAATACAGTTTTTTTAGTATTTCCTTGTACATGTGGATTTATAACTGTAGAGGTTGTAGGTATGATTTAGGTGGGAAAAAATGAGTTTTTATAGTAATCTTGGAAATGAATTTATAGTTGAATATAAAATGTTATGGGGATTGATGTATTAGACTAAAATGGAATGTGCCATTTAGAAGTAAACAAGATTTACAGAAAAGTATTTCTAGAAGTTATGAAGGAGCTTTTTTTCATGCAGTTTAAATATATTGTAGATTATGTCAAATGGTTGTTTAAAGTTTAAGATGTAAAACTGCATGACCAAAAGTTCCTAAATTTAATATCTTATTACTTATAAACATACATAACCTGCTTTTCTAGTTATGGTAGTGAATACATTCTAATCTTTTGTTTATGTGTATGATTATGGTGATTCTAGCAGAGTTTAGGTGCTAATTAGTAACAGTTTGATGTGTCCCTTAGCATCCTTCAAATAATCATTTAAAAGATGTTTCAAATCCATAACTATATGTTTTAAGTGGCCTACTTCTGGGTAGGGAATTTGGTTCTTAATAGAGTTTGGAATTAATTTCAGATGGCGTGTAATTGAGTATTTTATAATCAGAGTACAAGGTAATCTTCAACTCCTAGAGAAGCTTGATATCATTGGTAAAACAAGTGAACTTGCTCGTGTGTTTGGTATTCAGTTCTATGATGTTTTGAGCCGAGGGTCTCAGGTATGTATGTAGTGTTAATTTTTACTTTTTTGTTTCTAAGAATACTTTCAATCTGTAGAGCTTAGAAATTGTGTGTTAGTGCACTGCCTAAAAAAAAGCTTAAAATTATATTTTTTGTCATCAGTCTTTAGACCATAGTTTTTGATATCCTAACATTAAATAAACATTTCTTATTAACAAGACACATTCATAACATCTCAGTTACTAAGTTTCCCCACTCCCTTTTTGCCTAGTTAAATAACAAAGGGTATGAGGGTAACATTGTTACAAGTGTAGCATGTCTTATTCAGTTTGTTGCAACAAACCAGGTTGTAGGATCCACATAACATAACCATTAGAGAACATTAAAATATACCTAAACAAATGCAAGTAAAAAATTCCCTTACTAAAAAATATATTAATTTGTGATAATCTAAGGCCAAACACAGTTTCGTGATGATCCCAATAACTAATTTTGTGAATTAATATCCAAAAGTAAAATTGTAGAGATTCCTTATAGGTGGGGGAAAGCAATAAGATTTGATGTGAAGTTGATACAAAGAAAAACACTATTGACTTATGGAAAAATAGGTTAAAAGCTGAACATCTTTAGGTAGGACTGTCTTATGATATTAAAGTTGAAATATGTATATAATTAAAAAGGGTGAATAAAGGAAAACTATTTAATAAAAGATGGAGATATTGAAATAAACTTCAGAACAAGCAGACTTACATCGAAGTATGAAAATCTTTTACTTGTTGAGTCATAGTGTCAACAAACATGGACTTTTCAGGAAGCAACAACTCACTTCATCATGTTAGTATGTTACACTGTTTAGCATGCTTGTCTTGAATTTATGCCTCATGTATACCATCATTCTGTGTCAGTTCATATATGCAGTATCCTACATTTCTTGCATTCTTTGCTTTCACTGCTTTCTTAGCTTTCTTCACTTGTTCACCTTCAAGCCTATCTCATTCTTGACATACTCTCTTTTTCTAGTTTGTTGACTTCTCCCCTAGGAATGGATCTTCCAATTATTGGTTTCTGGGTGTTTTTTGTGAAAAGTTGGTCTTCTGATGATCAATGTACTTGTAACATTGTTCAGCCATCTTTTTCCACTCTATTGACTCCAGATCCAAGTTCTCTGGCGCTGAATACCTAGAGTCAGTCTTGGGAGAACCTACTCCCTTGTGCTTATGCTTATCTTGCTCTTCACATTCTTCCTCAAGTACTTGCAAAGATTAGTTCCATCTGCCTACCTTCCTCTTCATGTTTTTCCACAAGTACTTGTCAAGATCAGTTCCTTATATCTATTTTCCTCTTCACATTCTTCCTTGAACAGTTGCCAAGATTAGTTCCTTATGCATATATTTCTCTTCATATTCTTCCTTGAGTACTTGCCAAAATAAGTTCCTTGGTTCAGGGTTCTCCTTATTGCTTCACTTTCACCAGCTTAGCCATGATTTCATCTATTATATGGACTTTTTTTGGGAAAACAATTCCAACATGGGAAGACCTTTTTCAGCATTCTAGAACATCCTTTTTTTTTCACACTGACATTCAACATTTATAACCTCACAGCTGTTGTTTTTCAGTGTTTTGCCCAATAGGTCAATTCTCTTCATGGGAGACTCAGTTGTTAGCCTGTTCTTACTGAAAATCTTTGCTGGCTCTTTATCAGTCCTATTGGGCTACCTTCTGAAGTTGGTACATTTAACATTTTATCTTGTTTATCTCCAATTCCTTAATAAATTGCCTCCTTCCTGGATGTTCTGTGTTGTATTGGAAAAGGTTATTTAAATGTTAAAACAAATCATACTCGTATCTTGCTTGGACTACATTAAGAAATTTGCTTGTGCACTTGATCCATGCTGTTTACCATGATTTTCCTGAACACCTTACAAGAAAGTTTGGGATACATTTGGCCAAATTTGCCATTTAGTGATGTCTTTAGCATTTTGTTTAAAGTACCCTTCAGAGAATACTTTGTAGCCAAATATATGGATGACTTTCAATACACTCTTAACAATTTGTTACTTATGTCTGGTTATGATTCTTCAAGCCAGATAGAATCTTTAGGAGGTGAATTATTCTCTGTTATCTTCTTAATATGTACTTAGGGCCACATCTCTGTTATGCATGGTAACCCACATATCACTATACAGCCCACCACTTCTTTTTACAAATACAAGGGTATCTATGGTCTTGGGATAATTAGATAAAAAGTGTTATCTTTTTAAATTGAGATAAAATTACCCCTCTGCACTGGTATTTCATGAAAAGATAATTTCTTCTGGTGACTGAGGATACCTCAGCAGGTACCTTTCACACTACCACATGTACAACCTTGTATAGCATTTGAGGAATTGTTAGTGAGACTTTCTTTCTCCATATGACATCTTACAGCTTCAGTCAGGATGAGGAATATCTTACTGCTATATTTTTATCTTTCTTAACTTATTCGGTGTTATCATATCACTGGCCTACAGTTGTGGAGCCCATCCTCAGGTCTTCCTGGATCTTTCTGATTCTCCATTGGTGCCTCTTCACTGGGCTGGTTTCATGACTTGGCAGTTCTTATCAGATGCAGTGGGCCTTACTCCTGGGAGTGTGTCCAGTACTAGCTATTACTGGTCTACTCCTTTGAGAATTTTCCACTACTGATGCAGGATGACACACTGCAGTCTGACCTTGTATACCTGTTACAACACCACTTGTGACCACATATGAGAATGTGATGGTTCCACAGATAAATACATACTGCCAGATTCCCCTTTTTTAAACATTAAATAAATTAGAGTGAGGAAGTACATTGCTGAGAAGAATACATTTTCTGAGTACTCTCATTTATTCAATCTCTTATGCGTCTGGTCTTCTACTCATTTTTCCATTAGTTCAGTGCATTGAATATACTCTGGCTCTAAATTCTCTTCAACTCTGCTTGATCATATTTTCAACTGTCATGTTCTAGATTGTTACCTTCCTGCCTAAGACTCCAAATTTTGGGGGCCCAGTAGTTTTTCTGAATCTCTCTCTGGTTCCCTCCTCCTTCTCAATGGATGTATTCTGGCTTTTCATAGTTCAAAGGCAAACCTGCTTTGAATTTTATGTTTTCAAGACTTACCTCTGAAATACACTCCCCCCCCCCTCTTGCAACTGGGAGATACCTAGTTTTCATCATGACTGAAACAACAGAATTAGGATGATGGTGGGAAAGCAGAACCAAAACTGCTTTACAATACACCTTCTCTCTGCATCTCAAAAATAATAAAATTGGATCTGTGTTTCATTGTGACAGTAATCCCACGTGCACAAGGTAAAGTACATCATAGCACAGCTATCTTGTGAGGCAGTAATTAGTTTCTGTAATTAGATGCTGCAATAGAAAATAACACTTAGGGTTGAATTAAACACATGATTTTAAATATGATACCTAACCTCTTTTCACTTAATAGCTTTTCTCATTCAGTGCTGTCCTCTATATGCACAATATTTGCTTCCACTAGCCTTGATACTCTCACTTACCCCCACATGTTTATATGTGGTAAAGCTGCACTGTAGCATGCAGAAAAGCATGCAACGACCCTCTACCAATAGGAGTGCGACACATCCTTTGGGCGCAGCTGATTCCCTCCATTTTGTAAAGCCCAATCTTCACTTCTCAATTTGGCATACTAGTGTGCAGATGTCTCTTGTTTTTGCTGGAGTTTGCCTCGATTTTTTTCTCTACATTATCTTGATAATTTATGGTTTGATTGGGAATTTCCCACTCTAATTTCTGAATTATGAATTCATAATTTCACATTCAACAACTACTGTTGTTAGTACTGCCACTGAACACAACCTGCAGTTACTCTGGCTTTGAACTCTACTGTTTCTGCTGAGGAGCTTTTGGTCTTTGTTTCCTGCATCTTGAAATCAGTCAGGCAGTCTGCTCTGTCTCCTGACACAAAACCAGACATACCTTTTCCCTGATGAACATCGTCAGGATAATGAAGATTTGGATTGCCTGTTCCCACCTCCTTTCTTTACTGTGCAATCTCTGTGTAAACCTGTTGCCACTCCGAGACCTTTTTCTACCTTCCTTGATATGGTATCTCAGGTATGTTATCTTTTGTCTGTATCCCCTGTATCCTCACCTTCCCTCCTGCAAGTTGCCTCTTCCTCAGATTGTCTTGTTTTCCCACTCTCTCCAGATATCAGGGTCCATTCTAATAATTTTAAAGCACAGTTGTGTTACAGGGTCAGCATACCTTGTCCCCCTCATTCCTCTGATTCCTACACATTGGCATATCATTGTTAGGACTTCCCTTTTCTATATTCACAGTACTTAATCTTTGATTATGGTGGGGGTATCTGGCCCTAATATTACTTTGAGTTTTACCAGGCCCAATTTTCCCATCTTCATTTTACCCTTACCACCCTCCACCATTACCTCTCCTCTATCCATCTCCTCTCCAAGGTTATCCACCATTCCCATGACTGGTTTTGGCAGATACTTGTTCCCTCCTATTTTCCACTGGTGACTATATTTTTTGTTCTGGTATGGTTGGGGCACGTTTGGCTGGGTTTGTTCACCTGTAGAGTGCTTTCACCATGGATTATTGGGTGCTTCTGGTGTTATCCAAAGGACTCTGTCTTAATTTTCTGAACCCCACTCCTTTATCCCCACCCTCCATTCCTTTCACTCTTTCTCAGGATTCAATTTCCTGCCAGCTTCTATCCATAGCAGTTTGGGATCTTCTTCACAAGGACGCTATTGTACCTGTCACTCACCCTTTTCTGGGATTCTTTTCCTGGTTCTTTATAATTCCAAAGCAGCCCATAGACTGGCATCCTGTCATTGATCTCTCCAGTCTCAACCATTTCATTGACCTTTCTTGCTTTCACCATGGAGTATTTCCTCACTCTTTGGTGGGCATTTATTCTGAGTCTTTGGATGCCACCCTTAGATGTCTTAGATGTTACCTTCATGTCTTTATTTGCACAGCTTCCAGATGTTGCCTTCATTTTGTTC